GTCCTGAAACGTAAAGTGTTTTAGCTTCTGATTAACGGTTCTTATCGGGTTTAGACAGTTATTAGATATGTTAAGGTTCGTTTGGACCCTGTCGTCGAGTCCTCCGGTACCTTTCAGTGAGGTCTCCACCAGCCGCAGGTACTGTCTGGACCTCTTGTTGCCATGACTCATCTTCTGGGCCAGGCCGTTCCTCTGCAGCACGCACTCCTCCAGCTGGACCACGTTCTGGTGTCGATTCTCCAGGCTCGTCAGGGCCCAGAACTCGGCCAGGGCCAGCTCCACGTTTTCCGGGGCGTCGCACTGGAGCCTCTTCACCGCCACCTTGGCCCCCGTCTTCCGGGCCACGGCCTCGTACACCACCCCGTAGCTGCCCCGGCCCACCTCCCGGAGCAGGCTGTACCGGGGCGACACGGCCGAGGCTCCACCGGGCGGGTCAGCCCGGAGGAAGCTGACGGAGAAGCAGTCCTCCTCCTCCTCGTCGTCGTCCATGAGCCCGGAACCGTTGATGTTGTTCTCCACCGTGAGCGAGCGGAGGACTTTCCCCGCCTCCCGCTTCATCCTGGCGGCCACAGTCCGCCTGCAGCGCCGCACGCCCCCGCTTACCTTTCTTCTCTTCCCGTTTCGAAGATCCATAACTTCCTTTTTGTTGAAAGCAGGCATGAAGCGAGGGCGTGTTTCTCTGTCATTACTTAAACTCTGAGCGGGTAAAGTTTGGTCGTCCTAACGTCCGCCGGCGAGGTTCGGAGGTTCGAGCCGAGCTCTTTTTGTTTAAAACACTACCTGCGGTGACGCGCCGCGGGCTGTCAGGCCAGTTGTTTTAACTAATTTGGTTTCCCTGACAAAATGTTCCAGCGCTCTCAGAGAACAGCGGGCGTGGCTTAGCAGCAGCAGCTCGCTGATTGGTTGAGGCTGAACGCAGCACCCGGAAATGCCGCTGTAGAAATTAGCAAACAAGCTAGTTTGTTTGGATTTAAGCTCGTTTATTTAAGTCGATTGAAGCTAGAATATGACATAAAATTAAAGATTAAAGTTTTCTCCGATGTGCAATATAATTTGAGGCTGGTTCTGATTCGACCAGTTCGGGTTCTGCCTGTGTAAAGGAGGGAGGGGGCGGAGCTGGACGGGGGAGTGGGCGCACGTGTACCTCGGTGTGTTCAAAGCCTCACGTTAGGGTCCATCTGCAAAAACACGCGTGGGCTAAAAACAGTTATATAATTTATTTTTCCAAAATCATCTTATGATTTATTGTTGTTGTTATAATTTTATTTTAGTATGTCTGTGTTGGTTTTTGCCAGGAACATGTTCCTGTTTTCACTTTAGCTGTTTTTTAATAGTTTTCTTTCATTTATTCTTCTCAGTTTATAATCTTTCTTTTAGGATTGTCCACTGTTGTCATCATTCTTAGTTAAAAATCGGGTCTCTCTTGTAAATGAGTCCTTGAGGCTCAATGGGATTAACCTGTATAAATAAAGGTTGAATGAAAAAGTAGCAGTAGGACATTAATCAATATAATTATTAATAACAGATGTTTTTCACATGTTCAGTTTACATTCTGCACATTCCAATTACTGTTTGATGTACAGCCCCTGTTTTAATCTCTAATGTTTTATTCAATCTGTTTCTTCACACACCTTCTCTCCCATGAAGCTCAGAGTGGGGAGGAACTCCGGCAACAGTTGCTGTATGCTCAGACTCTGCATCTCACAGCTCAAGCTCCAAAGTCTTCAAAGCTGAACTTTGAAAACTCAGTTCTTCTTGACGTCATCGGGAATTCCAGCATTTCAAAAGGAGAATCCCTCAGCTTCACAGTTCATTCCCTTATTTAGACAGATAAATCACAATGAGCCTCGAAGACTCATTTACAAGGGAGACCTGTTTGGACACAATGACGCCAAACAATATACGAAGGGATTTCCCCGCACTAAATTTAAAATAAAAGGATAATGTCTAAAGATTAATCAAAATAAGTCAAACGTCTTAATTTCGCTCACAATCTCAACACAACCAGCAGCTGAGCGTCTTTATGTTGCACTGTTGGACCAGTTGTCGGCCATGTTGGAAACAAATGGCGACCTCAGATCTTCACTCCTTTTTATACTTTATTTTTACATCCTGAAGCCCCAGTCAGTTAATGTCCTCACTGACCTACACCCAGCAGTCTGTAGTGGCCAAGTGTTTAAACAATCTTTGAATGTATTAAAAATACAACTTAAACGTCACATTTATGGTTCCCCGTTTCACTTCATTCATCTGGAGCATTTTGGAGAAATATTGTCCCAATCCAATTTTTCTTTCAGCTGTTCCACCTCAGGGTCTCCACAGAGAGTCCTCCTCCGTCTACCTTCATGTCCTCTGTCCTCACTCTGTCCTCTGCGTCATCTATCCTCCCTACAACACCCCCATGTCCTCTCTAACTGCATCCATACATTCACTGTCCCTCCTCTGGACATGTCCAAACCACTGTCCCTCCTCTGGACATGTCCAAACCACTGTCCCTCCTCTGGACATGTCCAAACCATCTCAGTGTGTCCTCTCTAACTTTATCTCCCAGTTGTTCAACCTGTGCTGTACCTCTGATGGTCTCATCCCTGATCTTCTCCATCCTTGTCTCTCCTAAGGAGAACCTCAACATCTTCATTTCTGCCACTTCCAGTTCTGTCTCCTGTCTTTTTGTCCATGTCTCTGTCTCCAGACCACACTGGTCTCACCACTGTCCTCTAAACTTTTCCTTTGACCCTTGCTGACACTCTTCTGTCTCATGTCTCTCCTGAAACTTTCCTCTGTCCAGCCTGTCGTTACATTCCAGTTCCTTTCCCCTGAACAAGATGTGAGGACTTCACACTCATTTCAACGTTTTTCAGCCTCATTCATTTAAAATCTGCTCTCTCGGCTTCCTTCTTGTAAGTTAAGCTTTTTTTCCTGCCTTTTTAGCTACCTTCAGCTGTTTTTGTGCTAATTTCAGCTTTTTTCATATAATTGCCACTTTTTAGTGCTCGTTTCTGCTTCTTTCAGCAAATATTCCTTCTGCTTTCTTCGGCTAATTTAAGCTTGTTCTATCCTTTCAGCTGCCTTTTTAGCATGTTTTCAGATAAATTCAAGTTTTTCATGAGAATTTCAGCTACTTTCAGCGTAATAACTTATTTATGTCAATTTCAGCTTGTTATGCTCCTTTTAGCTTATTTCTGATAGTTGCAGCTTTTTCTGCTATTTCATCTACTATTTAGCTGTTTTATGCTAATTTTAACTTTTTCAGCTAATTCCAAACGTTTTAGCTCATTTCAGCTCTTTCCACTTCCTTCTGCTAGTATAAGATTCTTTTCTCATTTTCAGCTGCTGTTCATCTATTTTGTGCTTATTTCAGCTTATTTAATCCTAATTCAGCACACGTGTTCTTTCTGCTTTCTTATGCTAATTAAGACTTGTTCTTCCATTTCAGCTACACTTCATCACGTTTTTAGCTGATTTCAGCAGTTCTTCAGCAAGTGCTTCTGCAATAAGCATTTTCACAGGAAATGTGATTTTTCTAGTTTGTTTGGTTTCTTTTGCTCATTTTGTGTATTTTTATTGTTTATTTTGTTACATCTGTAATAAATCTTGTTTGTTTTTGAGTCAAATGTTTATTAGGTGCTTAAATCTGAAAGTTTTGTGTTTTTCCGCTCCAGCTGCTGTCACGATGTTACATAAAGTCATCAGAAGCGAGCGGCTCAGCTCTAAACCCACCGGGTCAGAGGTGTTGTTGTGAAGAACTGCGTGTCGTGCCGGGCCTCCCTCGCAGCAGACGGGCCTTTTGTCTCGGCTCAGCAGCCGGTGAAGCTTTGTTTTGTGGCTCCACTCAAAGGAGGAATTAGCCGAGGCCTCTGGGATCAGCAGAACTCCAACCAGGGCCGACCGACGTCCGTCAAACGGACCGTGTCATGTTTGAGGTTATTTACCAGATTAAACATAAAGGTTTTACTTTAAACATCAAGGTCTGAGCAAAGTAATAATTCTGACTAAAACACTTCAAACTCTACAAGTTTAATTACTTTGGTCACAATAAATTACCGACTAATTTATCGGTTTGATTTGTAATAAAAAAGACGATAAAGTTTAAACACAAAAAGATGAAGAAAGTCGTGCTTATTCGCTGTGAGTGTTTTTAAATGAGTTTATGGATTTGTATAAAATTTTATTTAAAAACTATTTGAGATTTTTAAAACTCACAACTTTTATACTAAACATGTCAAATAATTATTTTTAATGAAATTAGCATTTCTTAAAGTAATTAATTTAAAACTTATGATGGTTTTTAATTTACTGAAAAAACATGTAGGTTTAACTTTTTATTTCAGTTCTTGTTAAAAAATAATTTAATCTTTAACATCCTGCATCCATCCAAAATTCATCCAACTATCCATCCAACCATCCATTCATTCATCCATCCATCCAACATTCATCATCCATCCAACGTTCATCCAACTATCCATCCAACCATACATGTATCCATCCATCCAACCATACATACATCCAACCAACCATCCATCAAAAATTAATCCATCCAACCATCCATCATCATCCATCCATTGAACATGCATCATCTAATCATACATACATCATCCAATCATCCATCAATCCAACATTCATCCAACTATCCATCCAACCATACATGCATCCATCCATCCATCTAACCATGCATACATCCAACCATACATCCAACCATACATCCATTGAACATTAATCCATCCATCCAAACATCCATCCATCATCCATCCATTGAACATTCATCATCTAATCATACATCCATCATCCAATCATCCATCAATCCAACATTCATCCAACTATCCATCCAACCATACATGCATCCATCCATCCATCTAACCATGCATACATCCAACCATACATCCAACCATACATCCATTGAACATTAATCCATCCATCCATCCAAACATCCATCCATCATCCATCCATTGAACATTCATCATCTAATCATACATCCATCATCCAACCATCCATCAATCCAACATTCATCCAACTATCCAGCCATGCATCCATCCATCATCCATCCATCCAACATTCATCCAACTATCCATAATCCATCCATCATCCATCCATTGAACATTCATGATCCAATCATCCATCCATCAAATATTCATCATCCAATCATCCATCCATCCAATGTTCATCCAAATATCCATCCATCATCCATCCATCCATAAAGCATTCATCCATATATACATCCATCCAACCAACCAGTCAACATCCATCTATCCATCCATCAATACATCATCCATGATCCATCCATCATCCAACAATTCATCCATCCATCAGGCATACATCCACCCAACATCCATCCATCCATCCATCCATCCAACAGGTCCTCCAGACCCTGCAACAACTGGTCTCCTCAGATACTATAAGTTTACAGATTGTTGTTAGAAGATGAGGAGATGCTTCAGAGGAACCTGGACCTGGATCATCTTGTTGCTGCCATCAGATCCATAATAATCACGTTTTCCTCACAATGGTGCAGTTTTAAGTTTAATCTGTAAACTTTGATTGTTGATGGGATTTATCTTCAGAATCGTTGTGCAGCTAAGAGCTCCAGTTTACGATGGATTAAGTAATAAATGAAAGTTGATGTGGGAGCAGCAGCAACAAAGACGAGCCTGGTGACACGCAGCACTTTACAGAAACATCTCAGGTGCTCTGTCTGATCTGAAACTTCTCTAACGAGGAGGAACTTCAAAAACATGCTCTCCTGACCTCTGCTGGTGGACTCCAAATAACACCCATAAAGTCTCCTCTGGACGTTTCATGTTTGTTTGTC